TAGAGGAACCTGGTAAATGAAAGAGAATGCAACTTCAAGTATGGCTTGGCACTTTTTGAACTCAACACTGAAATGAAGTGCTGTGCAAACAGACATGACCATACCAGAAAACTCAAAACCACAGTCTCTCAGTTCCACATGAAGTTTGTTCCACTCTAACTAAATTTTCTAAGCCTATATCCAAAAGGCAAAAAAAACTATCTAACCTGTCTTTCATGGAAATTAACTCACTCTCATAAAACATCTCCCGCTCTTCCATTTTATCCCAGTGAACACAGCGTACTATGAACGCAGTTAAGAAAGAAATATTGCCCCAAATACTAATCAAACTCTAGAAATTAACACAGCATGTGACATCATCAGAATATTTTACTGAACACTGAACTGCATGGAAGACATTTATTCATGCACAGAATTCAACCTCTCACTAATCCTGAGTGAAATTTCCCACCATTCTAGATGATGTCTTCAGCTGTGTCCAAATCCACTGCTTCTTAATCAGGAAGGAAAAGAAAAAAAGAATAGAGAGAACAGTAACTCTCTTTTCATTTGCCTATATTTTATTATTTATCAGAATGTGAGGGGAAAAACATCACCTACTTATTTAATGAAGTGATAGCAGGTTTAACTTGAGTGATTTCAATGCCTACACTGTACACTACACTGTGAGATTGTATTATCTATGACCAACACCTTAGTGTTTGGGAAAAAAGTGGGACTTTTGTTAAGATTTTTATATTAGATGGGAAAAAAAAAAAAGCAACCACCAAACCACATTTGCACACAGAATCTGGAAGAAGGAAAAAAATACATTAAAAAAATTTAAAACCCTCTAAACCACTTGTGCTAGAATTTTTAGTTATACTAGAAATTTCAGTTTCTACAGCTCTAGTAAAAAAGTATTACTGAAGTTGAGTTTTCAGGAGAAAGTCACAGACCCTTTACCCAGACTTGGCATAGTATTCATAATCCCAACTTCACATTCACTGCTATCTAAAGCATTTCTTACCTTTATTGAGGTGTTCATGGAGAAAGCAGTGCTTTCCCTAGCTGAAAATTTAGATTCACAAAACATGTTCCCCAGCAATGTAAGAAAGGAAGGAGCATGTTGCTTCCTCCTGTAGAACACAGACTTTAGGAATGTGCTACTGGAGGCCAAGTGCATGTAAGACACAAATGCCTGCTGGTGTATGAGTGTTCCTTATTCCAACTGTAAAGTGTAATTAAAAGAGTTTTACCTGGAACCTGCACGCAATTTCCTCATTTCTCTCACAGTTTCTCCTAGTTTCTACCTCTTCATTGTGGTTACTTTGCCAGGTAACAAACCATGGTATTACTTTGTCTTGCCAACCTTAAATGTTTTATTTGCTGCCTGCAGGTTTACACCAAGTGCAGTTCTGGAGGTTTCAGATCAACAGATATCACTTACATCTTGAGAACAAGGCACCTCTACAGCCCTGGGTCAGACAGGACACTACTAAGGACCAAAAAACCCCAGCTCCCTTTGAAGGTTTCTCTTGTATTGGATTAAGAGAATTAACAAAAATCAATGAGGATGTTATCCTCCTACAACATTCCTAGTGTGGAGGTTGTAAAAGTAACTTATAAATTTTTCTGACTGAACTTCACATTATTACCCAGAACCAAGTGTTTATCACTGTTACACAGCCAAAAAAGTGTAACACAAGCAACAGCAACCTTTTAAAGAAACTTCTGATAAAATTGTACAGTACTGCTGCTGCTTCAGAAACACATTAAAAGTGGTGCATCCCACACCATCCATAAGGCCTTAAAGAGATGTGCCTTCAGATTTGGAATACAAAGTTGATAGTTTTAGCTGAAAATTCTTTTTGCGTGCTTATCGCCTGAGGGCTTCTTTAGTTAATATTAATGAAATCATGTTCACTTCTACCAAATAAATACTTAATAAAGCAATTCTGTGTAATGTATTAATGGCAATCTAACCTTTAAACATGCACTTTTATTTTTCAAAATTCAAACCTGAAAGCCTCCAGGTGTTACTCTAGAAACTAAATGAGAATACTCAGATTCCTTGGAAAATTTATGCTCATAAAGAATTATCTGCTTGTTATAAAGATTCACACAGGCCCAGTTTAGATATGTAGAATGGAAAGAATAATTTACAAATGGAGCAAATGCCAGATTTAAAAGTATGCAGAGGACACTCACTGATGGAGTAAGGGGTTTACATCCTAAGATTAGAGCTTACAGGATCTTGCACTGCTAATGACACTTCAGAGGAAAGAGTGCTGATTCCCACTTCCTGCAGATAACTTGTATCTAGGCAATGAAGCTTCCAATATTACAGCAGTGTGAATTTTTTCCCCCATCAATTCTACAGAATTCCTACATGATTTTAAGACTTCATCACTTTGTTTCTCTCCCTAAACTGTATTATAAGCAAAACATTGCTTACCTTTTATAGCATCTCTGGCCTGAAGTGTTCTACATCAGTAGGAAGTATTATTTTTGGACTCTTCTAGCAAGATTTGTCACCACTCTAAGCCCTTCCAGAAGTCTGGATAAAAATAAATAACTTGCCCACGCTTCTTAAGAGTCATAAGAGATTCTTTTTCTTAACATGATACTTTCCAACTAAACTGTACACGATGCTTTGTTATCTTAGGAAGCAATTTCAGGACCTGAAAACATTAGGTGTAATATTAAAGGCAAATCTACATCTCTCTATGTAAGGAGAACTACCATCTTAACATTATAAATGCTTCTGAGAAGAATCCTTTCTTTCTTTCTTCAACCTGCTTCACACTGTTTTGGAAGTTCTTTTATGGCTGCCTTTAGAAGATCCCAAAAGAGTGTCCAACTTAATCCAATTCAGAATACATATAAATGCACTTCCTGCAATATGGCATAAAGTCACAAAATACATTAAAAATGTTGTAATGTTGATCCATAAAGCCAGGCTCAAACCAGTTCCTGGAACTGTTTTCCATCATTATATAATATCTACAAGGCACTAGTGGATAGGCAAGAGGGAAAAAAAAAAGGGGGGGGGGGGAGGTAACTCCAAAGATTCTGTTAAGCATGATTCCCGTTTCCTCTATACATCTGCTAAATCTACAAGCAATTATTTTGAGGCCAAGAGCAGCAAATTCTTAATGTTATATCAGAACAGTGAGTTCTACAGGTTAGACAAGCATCAGTGTCAAAAAGTGGGGTTTTTTTGTCTTGGGGCTTTTAAAAACAATTTTCCATTTTCCAAGACAGTTATTCAGGGGGAAAAAAAGAAAAATCATTAAACTAGGTATATGTAAACTCACACTGCATTTTTACCTTTATATGGTCTTACTACTTTGCTAATTTATTCTCCAGGGTATGGACTGCACCAGAGTTATACTTATTCACTGACAGCTGTGCTGCTGATAGCTGAGATTAGTTACAGTGAAGGCTACTCCACTTTGGAACAAGGATGGGTTTTGTTATCAATCCAAACAGCCTCTGTGTCTCAGTGAAATAAGGGGCTTCATCGGTGCACTTACACAACACAGAGGGCTGGCAACAGCTGTAATTAAGGCAAATCCATAGTATCTCAAGTTCAGCTGAGAGAGGACAATCCTAAGTTATCCTCTCACTTCCCACAAGAAAATTTTACGTTTTTAATGATGTGTCATCACCCAGTTTTTTAAAACCATCTCCAGATAATTTTATTTTAAAAGTGGCCTAAGCTGAACGTAATAGGCACATGATCTCTCTTAGTACAAACTTCTTGTATTCATACACTTCCCTTTATATAGCCCCTTTTTTCTCTCATCTGCTCAGTTTTGACCAGGAATTTCAATCAAGCTCTCCACTACCACATTCAAGGTTTACTTTAACGGACTACAAAAAAAATCAACAACACAGATGCCAGGAGAATATATTGTAAAAATCTATTTTTCATCCTATCAGCAGTGCAATGATGAATTGCTGAAAGGATTGCACATGAAAATTCAGACCAAGGTCATCAAAATAAATGCTCATTCTCACAAAAACTGCATTACATTTTTGAAGTAGAGGAGGAAATATTATGTGCATGACTAGAATTAAAACCAAAGGAAAGCAGATTTCCAAGCACCTACTTCATGGCAGTAGTAAGACTGCTTAGGTAAAATGTTCTCTTCTACCCAAATATTCACGCTTTAGGAGAAAAAAAAAAAATAAAATCATTATATCCTTAATAAATGTAGCAGCAATTTGTCTCCTAACCAGTACCTAGCAAGCTTATGAAGCTTGGATTGAGTACAGCCCATTTCAGCCATGCACTCAAACACAAGGCAAAAGAAGCCTTTGAGAGAAAGTATATCAAATTGTAATTCCAAACAAATCTCCTTCAGAGTTTATCTAATGCTGTCAATTTTTCATGATTGACAAATGTGAGAATTTTCCCAGCAGCTAAAAAAACAAAAGGAAAGGTTTTACCATATCAGAGCCACAGAAAGCAGTGGCAGTGCCACCAAAGAACAAGCCATACACGTGAATACAATTTCAGGTAACACACAAGCCAAGTTACAAGTATTAGAAGTTTAAAGGTGAGTGTCCAAACTCACAGTAACACAATTCCAATAAATGTATGTATTTTCTTAGGCTCTAACCTTTAGAAAAGGTTCACCTTAAGAACAGGTTACAGAACCCTTTCCCATTTAAATACCTCTTTGGTACCACAGATGCTGCCAGAGAGGCATAAAGGTTGAAATCCTTTACAGTTCTTGTCCAGCCTCTGTTCTTACTGCTTTTTCTAACCTCTTCCCTAATTACCTGCTAACAGGTAAACTCTCTATCAGTCTGTAAATTATATGTTCCTTCTCATGCAAAAATTCTCCTTCACAGACAACTGAAGAAATTATAATATTAAAAACTGAGTTGTTAGCTCAAATAAAAGCTCTTGATTTCCAAAGTCCATGCAGCAGCTTTCTGGATCAAATCTGTATACTTCTCCTCTTCCCACACCTCCCCCAAATTTGGAAGACTCTCTGATTGCTTACATTTCCTTCGTTTTATCTGAATCTCATTTGATCCGTGGCTTGAGAAGAAAGGAGAATAGGCTTTCTCAATGCTCTGATAGGGCTCTCTTTACTCCTGCCAATAAAGGGAGCTTTGCTACAGTCTGCCTGGTTTCTTTCTTTGCCCTAAAGAAAGAAAGAGTTTGAGTTACATTACCTTCATTCAAAAACACTGTAACAGGCTTCTCAGAATCCATCAAGTTACTTCTTTAGTTTCATTAGACCATCAAACTAACATTAATGATGAACTTTAAAAGTAATCTAAATGTAACAAAGATAAATAACAATGAACAGTACACAAGGCATATCAACATGATTTTTAAACTATTGTTTTCTTCTCCTCCAGTATTGCTCACAAATGACTCAACAAAATAGCATTAAAGGAGGGCATGCACAGTTAAAATCACAGCTATAATTTCTTGCTTTCACGCACACACAAAAACTTCTCCACCCAGATACACTATGGGTCATTACAGACTGTAGAAAACCTTCAAAGCAGCGCCATTTTCTTGGAAAGTCTGATAAATTCCATTTGAAAACACCAACTCAATTCTGGGAAAGCAATTGTGTTCTGCAGAGCGGAACACCCCACAACAATATTCCAAGAGGTCATTACAAGTAAGCAACTTAGTTTGGGGAAGTTTGTTTGATCCTAGGATTTTTACAAGCACAGAGAAAAAGAAGAAAATGGTCCAAGAGCATAATTAATAGAAATCTTCATCAATATCTATACTCCCATGTTTAAGAATGCACAAAGTTCAACAAATGCTACCACAATGCCCAGGCCACCACCACACAAGTCTGAAGCGCCACAGCCTCTCTCACCGTTACGCGTCAAGGCCAAATTTTGTGCGTGCACAGCAGCAACCTCACCTGGCCATGTACAATACAGAGCCAAGGCACAAAATCTCACAGGAATTTCAGCAGTTTGACTCTTGTCAGTGCACTTTGCACCCACCTAGCCCAGAGTCCAGGAGGGCGCTGAGGCCAAGCCGGGCGGTCACTCCGCGGTGCCAGGGCAGCGACGTTGGCGGGCGGGCCGGGGCAGGCCGGCAGCGAGGGCCCGGCCGGGCAGAGCGCTCCCCGCTGCCATCCTGCACACAGCTGGGGACAGGATGGGCCTCAGCAGCCACAGGCACACCGACGGGCCTCACAGTCACACAGCTCGGCCTCAGCAGTCACACAGCTGGCTATGGAAGGTCACAGTGTCACAGAAATGCTTACCTGACCCCACACGCGCCGGGATTCCGCTCCCCTTGCCACAGCTGAAGTGCGGGACTTTGTAACACGAGACCAAGATAGGCACAAAGGAGGAATGCCACAAACTTCCACAGCTATAAAACTGGGGGTTTGTGGCTTTCTGAGTTTTTTTGATCTCGGTCATGTGCTACAATTCACCTTTGGTCCTCAGGAAGTGGAAAGGAAAGGCTGCTGCTGCTAACAAAGTAGCAGCAATGCTACTTTGGACCACAATCATAGTAAGTAACGTGCTAATGAGTGGTTACAGATTCTGGCAAAACACACACAGGCCAATGAAAGCTCAATCTGGCTCATTCTAGAAACACAGTACCTGGAAAAAGAGCCCAGCATTGAGATTTACAGAAAACTCCAAGAATAAATGCTTACTCAAAGAAAAAGGAGATCTGCAACTGTACGCTTTCCCCACCAAAACAGTATATAAATTACAAGTCAGCCCATTATACCTACAGGTGTCATGAAAGTAGCACAAATTTCTGTACTAAACATTTACATATTAACTCAGCAAAAAACTGAAGTTCTAAAACTATTAGCTCTGATATTGACTTCAGACACCCATCATATCAATGGCCCTGGGCCACTGCTCCTTTGTATTCTTAGGTATAAACCCAAATTTCATGCAGGGAGTTTTGCACTTTCAGCTTCTCCTTTCCCTCCCAAGACACCAACCAACCCCTTCCAAACTCCAGAGAATTAAGGTGCCTCCAAAATTTCATTCTTACTAAACAAGTGCACTCCACAGCTGAACAGCAGCATTATGACAGTGCTACACCCTTAAAAATCTGGCATTAAAAACATTCCAAAGATATTGGTAAGACATAGAAAGGACTGGGGATTTAGCTCCTAAGATTAACATAAAAAAGGAACATTCTCAGAACAATTGAAAATAATTGATCTTGAAAATAATTCCGTATTATATTGGAAAACCAAAGTGAAAACTGACTAAAAAAGAATCTTTTAATACTAATGAAGTACACATAACTGTTTCTCGACTTGAATACACTAGATAATTCAGGGAAATTATTACAAAGAATTTCAATGAATTACAAGCAATAAAAAAGGGAATCAAAACTTTTACTTTCCAACAAGCACAGTTATTGTTGCATGCTACAACATATAGAAATTACTTCCATTATCCTTTATATGTTAGTCAACAAAAATCACCTTACCTTATTCTCCACTGTCTGAGCACAGAGGATTAAAAACAAAGTATTAGGCAGAAACTGCAGGTGTTTTGTATCAAGAAGAAAACCCAAACCACTGCATCAATAAGCTTAGTGACTGTAAAGCATGCCATGCACACTCTAGGGATGTTTAATGGAAACTTCTCAACATCCTTCTTTTTGCAAGCTTCCAGACTTCTAAATTGGAAACCCAAAGGCAGCCGTTCATTACCTCCTCCAAAATGCAGATCTCAGCAACACCACACTGCAAGAGGAGCCACCACAACTTGATTTTCCTTCCTGGTAATTCCCTCCTTGCCAACTACTGCACTGAGGTCTTTCTGAGGGCTGTGCAAAATGCAATCGGGGGAGGGCTGAAGGAGCCCAGCAAAGAAACACAGCTACAGCAAAATTCTTTCAGATCATCTCATGACTTCCCAGTCGTGGGCTAGAAGGCAAAAACTGCAGAGTTTGGTGGGATCACTTAGCATTTTCTCTGCTGCTCCTCCTCATGTTCCTGCCTGCTTTTTATTTCATTTTTCACAGGATAATTTGAGGATAGCACTTTGTGGAAAAACTGGAGTGAATGAGGGGAAAATAAACAATTTTGTTACAATAAAGCTACCTTTAATTCTCATAACCGTAATATTTTAAGGGATTAAAACCAAAATGTCTTGTAAGGTTTAGGATGCTTTGGTGTTTTCTCAGTTCAGGGAAGGGGGAGACACTGGTGGATTTTTTTGGCTTTGGTTGTTAAACTGGGGAGTTTAGTCAATTAACTACTTAGCACTTGGATGCTTTCCCCATACAATTAAAACTGCCGTGATTACACAACAGCAGTTTTTGTGAGACAAGTGCCCAGCAGGGGCATTTGTAATTATTCCCCAAGTGTTCCACAACAGCAGCAAAAGAATGAATCCAAATATTAAAGAAGCTCTCACAGAAGCAGTGGGGTTGGAAGGGACATCTGGAGACCATCCAGGCCAGCCCCCTCTGCCCAGGCAGGATCAGGCAGAGTTGCCCAGCACAGCCACCCACTGGGTTTTGAGGATTTGCAGAGAGTTACTCTACCACCACACTGGGCAGCCTGTTGCAGTGTTTGAGCACACCCCCAGCCAAAAGCTTTTCTTGCATTCAGATGGAATTTTATCTTTTTTATTCTTAATTTATGCCCACTGCCTCTCTGGACACTGGAAATCTCATCTCTAATTTGAGTTACCTCTATCCCCATCCACTCTCCACAGCTGTGTTTAAGAGCAAAAGGAGCAACAAGGAGCCCTTGTGTCAATCAGCCAGTTGTTGGCTCACTTGAAACAATAGGCTCATCACTGCTTTCCACCCCTCCTTCCTTCTGCATCCTGCAGAGCCAGGCTCAAGGCCAGATCTTTTAGCTCATCCCAGCTGCCTACCATCAGCAACCTATTATTCCTGGAGATCCAGGTCCTCCTTGGGGGAGCATCCTGCCCAGACTCCTCTGGTTCAGCCTCACTGGAACATTAGGCAGGGCTGAGCACCTGCTGGCAATGACATGGAAAGCTCAGAAACCTCCCCAGCCCTCTGGCACCTCCCCACCTCCTGTGCAGCCCCCAGGAGAGGGGCAGCAGCAGCAATCAGAGCGTGTTATATGGGCATGAGCAGAAGGAAATGGGAGAGTTTGGAGGGAGATGCATCCTTTGGGGGTTTGGCTCCAAGCAGTGCTAAGGCTGGCTGGTTTTAGGGGCAGGTTTGAAGGTTTTCCTTTCCCTTAAAGGCCAATATAATGGGCAACATAGTTATGGACTCAGATAGAATGAAAACAACTACTACCCACTCCCCCACCAACAGATGGGAGATTAACTTCTCAAAGCTGTGCACAAGTCCTTTGCTTACTCTTTGTAGGGGCTCCTGAGTTCCCATGCACTGAAACAGTGATGTTACAATTCTTCTTCTAATATGGCTTAGTTAACATTGACATTCCTGCAGTGGATAATATATACTCAGTTTGGGCTCCCAAACAAACTTTTAGTTGGTTTTATATCCAATTTTTACCTATTGAAAAGAATTTACCACTAAAGGTCATCTTCAGCTTCAAATCCCTTCCTTGGTTTGCAGACCACACAACACACAATATTTTAAAATCATAATCACAAATGTGCAAAGGTGAAAGAGAGGCCTGTTAGCTTTGAAACAGAAGAACAAAATCAGAAAAGCTATTAGAGACTTTCTGTGTGACTTAATGCACTTCTGTATATTTCTATTCTCCTTTGTTGAGGAACAGATCCCCCTTTTCTGATCTTACCTGGGCACCTACCAAGTTCCCATCTCTTCATATGTATTACCTTGTATAACAGGGCTCCAGTCTTAAGCTGGGAACTGTCAAAAGTGAAAAAATAACTAGAAATAAGGATCACAAAAACAATTTTATCTTGATAAAGTTGGGAAGAAGGACTAAAAATATCCCTTCCCCTAAAAACCAAACATAAATAGGAAAATAAGATCTTTAATTATTGTTTTGTTTTCTGCAGTTAGTCTAAGACTAGCACCTTAACACTTCCTAAGCTGTTTTGCTTCAGGACAGTGAAAATTACTTCAAGACAGCCATGTGTAGCCTAGTTGCTTTCTGGCAGGCATTCACATACCAGCACAGAGGCACACAAGACTTCCTAGGAAAACACCACCAAACACCTAGCACCAACTTAGAAGACATGGCCAAGGGGGAAAAAAAATCTTACAGAAAGATAGCAAGTATGCTTCATAAACTGCTCATGGTCCTGTGTGGGAGAGTAAAAGAGAAAGAGAAAAGGCCAAAAGAGTGTTCAACTATTCCAGCAGACTACTTCCTTTTCCTGCATCCTTCAGATGCTACTTCTAGATCACAACCTAAAAAGGACCTGTTATACTGTTATGTGAACCTACAAAAAGAACTTATTGTGACAAGAACATGAACTTCCGTATATAAACACCATCATTAATTCACATAATTTACTACCAACAAGAAGTTCTTAGTCACAGTGCTTAACATATGGTCTAGCAATAGTGTAGCAAAAAGCTTTATTTTTATCCCTTTCCACAGAGAACTTTGAAAGAGCCTCTTTACCTTCCAGCCTTATAAAGCTGTACCTGTTCTGAGGAAAAAGCCCCAGAGTAGTCCCAGAGCATCACCTGCTGCTCCTCTGCAAAGCCACAACCCCCAGCACTCACCTGAAGGACTGAAGAATTTCCTATGTTCACTTCAAGAGGTTGAAAGGAGCACGTTTCACTTCTTTTATCCATTCCTAATTTAAAGCTTTTAAACTGAAGGCAAACAGGACTAACTTTTTTTTTTTAGAAGCATAATTTGTTTTTAAACTCCAGAAAAAGTAGAGTGGAACAAGGAAGGAAAGCACAACCCCAGACATATTTAAGGTACTGTTCTAAAGGATTCAGGACATTTTCTCTTCTTGCAAGTAAGGTTAAATGCAGTTTTCCAAATTAGGCTGTGGCTGACTGAGGAAGCTGGTTCCTATGAGTTCTAATCATATTTTTAATCTATTTGAAATCAAACATCTGAGGGGAAGATTTTTTTGTGAAATGGAGATAATAATTTGCTTACCTTCCTTGCAAGTACAACTGATGAAACAAAAAAACCCAGTGTCCATAAACTATCATGCAACTTAATTCCATCAGGCAGAATGCAGAACTTGCCAAAAAGTCCATTCTGATTGTGTGCAGGGCACACAACGAGACAGAACAACGCTACAAGAGGGTTTATTTACAGAAATGAGAATGAAACTTGTTCTGACTTTTGAGGTATCACCTTCATTCATAACCAAACCAAACCCAGGCACTGAAGATGGTTTGTTAAATAAATATCATCAACTTAAAGATGTGAAAACGCAAAGGAGAATGAGGTACTTTACGGTGTCATGCAATGATGCTAATACTAAAAAAAACCCCAAAAAAACAGCCCAAAAATCCCACCAAAAAAAAACCCAACTCACACAACTGTCATGAGGTTTCTCAACATACATATTAAAAACATACACAGCAGAAGAATCGTTCCTACCTACCTGTTTACATGAAAAAAATTCCCACCACAAACCCCAGTGACACACAAGCCTGCAGTCTGTGCTCCGATAGATTAATATATTGTTTCCCACTGCTGAGAGCTGGTCTTGATTCAGTTAAAGCCTAAGCACTTAGGCTTTCCTGCTGGGAAACAAACAAGTCAAGTCGGTTTCAAGCATCTCCTATTAATAGACAGAAACAATTCTCACAAGCCTGAAGGCAAAAAAAGATAAATAGTAGGTAAAGGCTGCACGAAACCATAACAAACTACAGCAAATCAAAAAGCTGCACCAAAACCTACTACTTCACTAGAAAATTCATTGCAAAAGTCTGTTTACTTCATGGAGGAAGGCATCAGTGAGTCAATATCTACAAGAATATTTTACATAGTGGGAAAGTTTTTATTGGCCAGAGGTTCACAGTGTTCTTAAATTTCCAGAAACTGCAGATGTAAAGATACTTCTGTTAACCTAAACCAAAACCAAGAAAAGAAACTATCTGAGATGACACTCCATTTCTCAACACAGCTCTACTGCTCTTCAACCTTCTCAGCACAGGAAAGACTTACACTCTGATATTAAAGGATGGAAATGTGAACACTGGAAACAGAGGTAGCTTTTAGACTACCACCAAATGGCATTAAAACATGTTAGCCAGCATAAAATCTTGGTTAGCACATTGTCGCCATTTCTGAGCTGTGACACTAAGAACTGAAGTAGTTTAAGGAACCAGTTCTATCCACTCTTGTAGAAAATTAGTGAGCCAGTCAGAAGGTATTTACAAGAAAGCATGATAGCATCTTAGTTCTTCCATTTTCACTTTACTTGTAAAAGCTAATAAGAGAGCCAAGAATCATCAGTCAATAAAGAACTGAAAGGAGTTCCTTCCTTCTTTTAACAAGGAAAATATGCTGCAACACCACTACAAAATAAAATCCAGTTTACTCAAACTAAAGTGGCTTAAATGAAGGAATCCTTCCTCAGTCTTCAGAGGGCTGATAACAGTTTAAGGATTATCTTTAAAAACTGAAAAGTAAATTCAAAACATTTCACAGGTTACATTATTCCTCTTAATCTGCTAAAAATCACCAATTTAAAAAATGCAAATTATATTTTAGTTGCTGCTTTTCAAATATTTTGAATGATACTTACTAGTAAGCATTTTCATCACACAACTTTTTGGAAGCTGGAAATTGACTAAATATTTTTCAATTAACGTCATGGATCATACATGCACAAGTATCAGGATTAGAGTTCTAAAAGAGACTAAATTACGAACCTACTCATAAACTAAAGCCTTTGTGTTAAATTTCAAAAGCACAGAGATCACATTTGTTTTAGTACTGTAGTAGTATGATTCTATTATCATGACAGTGCAAAACAACTTTCCTAGCAGGCCACAAAGCATTCAGGGGGATACATGATCAGAAGCTCAAATTCAGAAAATCAAGTTCATATTCAGCCAATTCTCAGTGCTGGCACTCCATAACACAATAGATGAACAACTGTTTCTATAATTCTTGTTTTTTTATCTGCTTTTGGTGATGCAAATCCTTTCTAATGTATTCTGTTCTACTGAAACCTTCTCATCCCCCACTCTACATCAAGACATCCCATCTCATTTTTCTTCTCATAAACAATTTACCTATGGATTTACCAGCAAAAGCCAGTTGATGGTAACAGAAGAATGAATGAGAAAGTTCTTCTGACTCAAGTAACTATATGCTTCTTTTTAAATTGAAACCTAGTGATGGGGGCTGCCTCCACTGCCCAACACACCCAAGCTGTAATTATGGAGAAAGACAAAAAAAAGCACATGCAGAACAGAAAACAAAGGATGCTCCTTTCTGTTATCTGCTGATGCACCCATTTATCTGAAGACCTAAATTCTATGCCTGCAACACACAGACCAAGACCAGCAATGCTGCTGCACTGCTCAAGTAAAAAGCAATATGTGGTAATTACCAAAGCATTCTCTTGGGTGCTCAGCACAGTTCCCCATGTGTCCATCAGCTCACACAGAGAGCAAACAGCAGCACAGCTGTTTCCTGGGGCAGTGAACACTGCTCCTCACCTGCAACCAGCCTCTTCTGGCCAGTCTCGACAGTGCTGTACTTACATGGACTTCACCATCTTTACCCACACATGGATGTAAGCCCTCATCCCCCATGAACTGGCAGGCTGCACTCCTGATTGGCCTCACTAAAAAACTACAGCCAGAAAAATACTGGCGTTGTGGATCTGCCTCAGGTCTTCCACTCAAATCTCAAGAGCAAGCACAGCTCTTCCTACAATGCTAAACATCTGGAAATCATGCTGGAGCAAGCTTAATCTGCTACTTTGCAAGATGGCCCTGTTGAGTTCAGAACCCTTGGAGCTACTCTTATAAGCTAAGGTAGCACCATAAAACCCATTGCCTCGATTCAGAGAGGAACATAATGGCAGAGAAGCTTCAGTAATTCTTTGCTAATGCTGTATCTCCACATGGTACAGGGAAGAATCTCAGAACAGTAATCTGAAACAAAAACACTCCCAGTGCAAATTAGTAAAAAAACTCCAAACAAAACAAAATAACCACACAAGAAATAAAATACTATATAAAAAAAACTAGAGCAGAGATAAAGGATGAATTAGAAAAAGAAATCCTTGCAGCAGCAACAAACAGCTGTGTTCCAGCCTGTAGAACAGCCCCTGCTCTAGGCCTCTGGCAAATGAGAAAAAGGAGATGATGAAAGCAGGCCAAACACCACTCCACACCTGAAAGACTCTTAATTCTGTAATGGAGACTTGTGTCTTTCTACAGTGCTCTGCCTGCAGACTAAGTGCCCTGTGTGGCACATTGGCCCCTCAGACATCACACCTCCAGTCCAACTACCCCCAAGTCTGAGTACACACTGGAGACATCCCTGACGCCTTCTGTGTTTAGGCAGCCACCAGAAACAATTACATCTGGGCAGACTGCAGGCAGTGGTCACTGGTTTAACATGTGAACACTCCAACATCTATTTCCCCCAGACATTTCTCCCTCATTCAGTATCGGCAGCAGATCAGTTCTATCAGTTAACGTAATGCTGAAAATTCACCAACCTCATTTCAATTCTCACACTGCCTGCTCTTCCAAAGTCAGTTTGGATTGTCTGACTAGTTCTGCCACAGTCACAGCAAAGCTGTGGTACTGTCAAAGAGGACTGACTGACCACAGTATCTGCAGAAAGAATGACCCCAAGCCACCGCTTACCCTAGTTAGTGAGAACAGATTAATAGCCTACATCATCTTAGAACAATGGAAGCTGAACTCTTCTGTATTAATTTACAGCCATTGTACACTAGCTTCTTTACTCCTGCAGTGAACATCTGGATAAGTAAGGCAGCTGTAGGGAAACACCATCTCCAAAGTCACTTGTATCCGAACATTAAAACTTTCTTAAAAATATTTCTATTTACAGGAAAATGAGTAGAGACCAGAAGAACAGAGAGACATCAGTTAAAGGAATGCATCATATGGGCTCAGGGAGCTCCAACAGGGAATAAGGCCATACAGAAATGTTACTAAAACACTCACTAAATGCTCTTGTTTCTATCTTACTCAATGTATGTAACACTTGGTAATAGGCTCTGGTGCTTCAGCCCTGGTAACTGACTACAACATCAAGATATTGGTACATCCTTATTTGGCCTTCCCACCTCTTCCTTGAAATTTACTATGCTTGCAGTACTGAAAAAAAACCCAAAAAACAAAAGAGGACAAAACCAAACCCAAACCTAAAGTCTTGACAAAATCATGGTTTACAGTTCACTTCACAATACCATATAGCATAGAACTCATGTTCAGCAGTGATTTAAACTAGGTTTAAAGTGAGTTCCAGTACTCTGCAGCTCTGGGCTGACTCTGAGTGAGGAAGATACATGATTTCATTTTGGTGTCAGTAACAGCATCAAACCTGACACATTTCATCTAGTCTTAACATCAGGCTCTAGCTTTTCATTTAATAACTCGGGACAGCCATTCATATTTATTATCAAGAGCTTTCCTGCACATCAATAAATTCTTGCCCAGGAGCATGGGACATGTAGTCATTTCTCAAAAGATAGCTGTGCAAATAAAATCCTTCATTAATGCAAAATCTCGTGTTTGATAATTTATTTACTTTTTTTTTAAAGCAGAAATATGCCATCCCACTCATTTTTGGTGGGTGTATCACAACCCTGCTCTTATCACTCCCCCTAGGCCTCCCCTCACTATCTTCTTCACCTGAAAAAAAACAAGACACAACCTCAATATACTACAGTATGTTGTCACTTCTTCTCTGTCCTGACCACATCCTTTCTGATCAACACGACAGTGGGATATGCTGCTGGATGCCATTTTGGCTGTAGGAGCAACAATTATTCCTCAATCTGGAGCAAAAAGCAGTGACAAATCCTGTTAAATTCCAAATCTTAGCCTGTAAACAGAGTCAGTCTCCTAACCACTTCAAACTCAAGGCAGGATGGAGGAAGCAAGGCTGGGTTTTGTTAATTTTTATGTATCTACTAAGACAGCGCAGAATACTATTAGCCTTCTCTCCATACACCATCCTGGACAATGTCAGAATCAAGGCATTCTATTCAAGCTGACCAAGCACAATTTTCTTCCTTCCTGATTGGTTTCCACCTCCAGCTTTGGCCTCACTCACCAAGCCAATCACGTAACCAAGGAATGACAAGTTCACATTTGATACGACGTCGTATGGCTGGATATCACAGCTGCTATCTTCTAATTGCCCCTTTAAGGGTCATCATTAGCCAGCTCTAAGTTATTATTAGCAAACTGATAAAACACTAATGGCCAAGTTCTCTCACACAACAATTTGTCCATTTTCCACTTATCATACTGAGTTATTCCAAAATAAATGATTAAGAAGAATCATCCCCCTGCCTATTACTTGAACCTGTTATATTAGTTAGTTATTGTTATATTTTGAGGAACTAACAGCATCTGACAATCACACATTTTAATCCTGGCCAAGGTTAGAAAGCCAACCAAGATTTTTGCAAATTTCTCTATTTCCCTTTGAAAACAGAAAGAGAGCATGTAACACCCACTGGCTCTCTCACACCACTTCAACAGCTGTTAAACTCAGGTCAAGACTGTTAAGCTAGGCT